TTTACAACCAATTTTATATATCCATTAGTCATCAGTTTATTCATGATATTCAAGATTTCTATATACTTGCATTCTGCATATCGTAGCCAACCACTCCAGAAAACAGATTTCTTATCTCTTTAAGCACAGAAACAGGAAACACAGTAGAATTTTGCTGAGATTAGACATTAAAAAAAAACTTTGAAGTATTTAATCATACAAACCTGGGATTTTAGACTAACTTCTTACATTTATACCAAATTTCTTAAATATTGTGGTCCAAGTTGGATCCTATTCTGAAAATTGTCTCAGTCATGTAAAAACTGACATTTGATAGAAATCTCTAACAGATGCTCATCCTGAGTGAGCAGTATGGTATACACCACATTCCTATAAAACTATTCTGACTGTGAGAAGCACCAGTAGACAGTCTGATGTATGTTATGTTGGCTTTGTAGGAGAAGGCACTGGAAATATACTGTATACAATCTTTATATTTTATACAGTATATATATGTAACATGTAAGCAGCCCAGGTTCGAATCTCAGAAGGGTATGTTTGGCTCAAGAGAGCTAAGAAGCTTGAAATAGCTATTCCATCCTCCCTTATTCTTTGTTAGCAATCCAAAAAAATGTATATATACAAAAGAGATCGCAGTTGGCGACTGCTGCCTGTGGATGGCTCTAGATTGAGCTGATACAGGCAAAAGAAAAAGAAAGATTTCTTTCTCCCATATTTGGGCCGACAGGGTGCATCAAAAAACACTCAAGCTAAATCTCCTCCCCTTGTCTCTTCCCTCCCTGATACAGCTGACAAAGTGAGAAAGAGCCTGTGGTCTAGAGGTTAACACAGCTGCCTAACATGTAAGCAGCCCAGGTTCGAATCTCAGAAGGGTATGTTTGGCTGAAGAGAGCTAAGAAGCTCAAAATGTGTGTGTGTGTGTGTGTGTGTGTGTGTGTATGTGTGTATATATATGTGTGTGTGTGTGTGTGTGTGTGTGTGTGTGTGTGTGTGTGTATGTGTATATAGTCAAAATAATGATCACCAAGAGTATATCTATCCAAAAATAGAATTTAATCCACCAAGCTTTCATCAAATACATTTGACATCATCAGGGTTAAAAGGCAAACACCGGGGGAAGTCTTATATACAGTTGTTTAATGCCTGTTTCCGGCTCCTGGAGCGTGTCATCGGCCCCAGCTGATCGAATTGATTATTTGGGTTTTCTCTCGCGTAAAATTAGTGTCTTGGCACAGGGTGGTGTTTTCAGCTTTGTGCTTCGAGGAGCAATTGCTCCTCGAAGCACGAAGCTGAAAACACCAGCCTGAAGATGACGAATGGGACTTTGTCGAAACGTCGCCAAGACACTTCCAATTTTACGTGGGAGAAAACCCAAATAACCAAAGACCTACATACAAACACCCGCGAAAACCTCAGAAAACATATATATGTGGGTGTGTGTGTGTGTGTGTGCATATATAAATATACATATACATATATACATATATACATGCATATACATATACATATACATACATACATACATACATATATATATATCAAATAACAAACTTTGTTTTATACTTGAGCTACTAGGACATAAATGTGTTCGATAGTTCAGGAACAGCCAGTCTTGATTCCATGGGTATAGAAATCGTAATATTTGAGTGAACTGCTAATAGTAAGCAATTCACTCAAATATTACGATTTCTATACCCATTGAACCAAGACTGGCTGTTCCCAAACTATCAAACACATTTATGGTTAATGACCTAGCTAGTGGAAATTACTCTTCTGATATCTACAAGTGATTCTTATAGGGGAGTCTTATTGACTTATGAATGGGAAAAACGGTTCTGCTTGCAATTACCATTTCTTTGTCTGTAATGTTGATTGATATAATAATAAAAGTTACACAGTAGAGCAACTAATTTTGAGGACTGGTAGAAGAGTCTGCAATTTTCAGAGCTTGTTCTGGCACAAAGGTGGGAGGAGAGGGAGGAGGGGAGGAATGAAATGGCTAGAAGGGCACTTGAAGCGAAATTAAAAGACAAAATGGTATCCTACCACCCTAGCATTCATTTGCAGGTTTGGGGGGAATGGCTACAGCTTCCAGTCGTGTTTATTTTCTAAGCCTATATGCAAAACCAAGATATGGCCCAGATACATTTTATAAATAAATATGTTTGAAGTTAATGGGCTGCTTTATAGCAGCACACCAGTTTCTCCATTATTTATTTAGTTTCAATTTTAAAAGCTTGGTGGATATCAAGGGGATTACTTTGCCTTCTGCTCTGGATCCATTTCAAATTCTGAGAGATTCTGCACCCACAAATCATTCTGACCTTCACATCTACTGATTTCTGTTTATTTTTTTGCATTACATATTTATTATTTTATTATTATTATTTTTATCAGTGTTTATATGCCGCCCAATCCCAAAGGACTCAGGGCGGTGTACAAAGTTAAAACAATGATAAAACAATAAAATAAAACAGTCATACCGCGAGTCCGATCATATCCCGGCCCCCCAGGGACATCAGCCCCAGGCCTGCCGGAACAGGAGGGTTTTAACGGCCTTCTTAAAGGCCGGCAGGGTGGGAGTAGTTCGAACCTCAGGGGGAAGTTGATTCCACCAGGTCGGAGCCACCACAGAAAAGGCCCTTCCCTGAGGGCCCACCAGCCGACATTGTCTGGCCGACGGGACCTGAAGGAGACCCAATCTATGGGACCTCACCGGTCTCTGGGAGCTGTGCGGCAGAATGCGGTCCTGTAAGTAACCTGGCCCTATGCCATGAAGGGCTTTAAAGGTGATAACCAACACCTTGAATTGCATCCGGAGACCCACAGGAAGCCAGTGCAGCTCGCGGAGGATAGGTGACACGTGGGCGTACCTTGGCGCGCCCACAATCACTCTCTCGGCTGCGTTCTGAACCAACTGCAGCCTCCGAACGCTCTTCAAGGGTAGCCCCATGTAGAGCGCATTACAGTAATCCAGTCTTGAGGTGACAAGGGCATGAGTGACTGTGAGTAAAGCCTCCCGGTCCAAATAAGGCCGCAACTGGTGCACTAGGCGAACCTGTGCAAAGGTCCCCCTGGCCACAGCCGATAGATGTTGTTCCAGATTTAGCTGTGAGTCCAGGAGGACACCCAAGTTGCGTGCCTGCACTGAGGGAGGTAAATTTGCCCCCCCCAGGACTAAAGATGGACCATCCAGTTGGCCTTTGGGAGGCAAGACCCAGAGCCACTCGGTCTTGTCAGGGTTGAGTCTAAGCCTGTTCACCCCCATCCAGACCCTCACATCTTCCAGGCACCGGCACATCACGTCGACTGCTTCACTGAAAGGACACGGGGTGGAGATGTATAATTGGGTATCATCCGCGTACTGATAATACCTCACTCCGTGTCGCCGAATGATCTCACCCAGCGGTTTCATGTAGATGTTAAAAAGGAGGGGGGACAGGACTGAGCCCTGAGGCACCCCATGATCGAGGCGCCTAGGGGTCGATCTCTGTCTGCCCGCCAACACCGACTGCGACCTGTCAGAGAGGTAGGAGGAGAACCACCGCAATACGGTGCCGCCCAGCCCCACCTCTCCGAGACGACGCAGAAGGATACCATGGTCGATGGTATCGAAAGCTGCTGAGAGGTCAAGAAGCACCAGGATAGAGGAATGACCCCTATCCTGGGCTCGCCAGAGGTCATCGGTCAGTGCGACCAAAGCAGTCTCAGTGCTGTAGCCGGGCCTGAAACCAGATTGAAAAGGGTCCAGATAATTGGTTTCATCCAAGGATCGCAAGAGTTGAGATGCCACCACCTTCTCTACAACCTTCCCCACAAAGGAGAGGTTGGAGACGGGACGAAAGTTCTTCAAAACAGCTGGGTCCAGGGAAGGCTTCTTGAGGAGGGGCCTCACCACCGCTTCCTTTAAAGGTTGCGGGAAAGACCCCTCCATCAAGGAGGCATTGATTATCGCCTGGAGCCAGCCTCGTGTCACCTCCCTACTGGCAGAAACCAGCCAGGAGGGGCACGGGTCCAATAAACAGGTGGCGGCATTCATTGCCCTCACGGCCTTGTCCACTTCATCAGGGGTCACAGGTTCAAACTCGCTCCAGATAATATGACTAAGACCAGCCCCTGGCAACTCGGCTGGCACTGCCCAGTCAGAGTCCAGGTCCCTCTGAATCTGAGCGATTTTGTCCGAAAGAAACTGAACAAACTCCTCAGCTCTCTCCTACAAGGGTTCCTCCGCCTCCTCCACTTTAAGAAGGGAGCGGGTCACCCTAAACAAGGCGGCCAGGCGAGATTCTGCGGATGCAATAAGTGCGGAAAAGTGAACACACTTTGCCGCTCTTATCGCCACTAAATAAGTCCTAAGATAGGCTCTTAATAGTGATCGGTCAGGTTCAGAGTTACTGGCCCTCCAACGTCGCTCTAGACGTCTCTTGTGGCGCTTCATCTCCCGGAGCTCCTCAGTAAACCAAGGCGCCCTCCGGGGACCACCACCACAGAGAGGTCGCAAAGGTGCAATTCGATCCAGGGCCCCGGACGCCGCCTCATTCCAGGCCGCAACCAGGGACCCGGACGAGTTGTGGACAAGGGAGTCAGGTATTTCCCCAAGCTCCTCCTGGAACCGATCTGGGTCCATTAGGCGCCTGGGGCGGAATCACCTAGTCGGTTCCCTCTCCCTGCGATGGGGGAGTAATGCTCTGAAGTCCAGCCTCAATAGGAAATGATCTGTCCATGACAAGGGCGAGATCTCTATTCCCCTTAATTCCAGATCATGTCTCCATTGCCCCGAGAGAAACACAAGGTCGAGTGTGTGACCATCCCTATGGGTCGGATCCTGAATTACCTGGGTCAGGTCCATGGTTGCCATGGAAGCCATGAACTCCTGTGCCGCCTCTGAGCGATCGCCAAGTGATGATAGGTTAAAGTCCCCCAGTACTATAAGTCTGGGGAACTCCACCGCCAACCCGGCTACTGACTCCAGCAACGCAGGCAGGGCTGTTGCAATGCAGCTGGGAGGTAGGTACATCAGCAGCAAGCCCAACTGAACCCGTGAACCCAACTTCAATGAATGAAATGATCAGGAATGGTAGCTGAATGCTGCACAATGATTGGAGGGGATATAAACTTGCTGTAAGGACCCACCTCACTTTACATCTTAAGAAGACATAACTCTTGGAATATCTCTTCCAACAGGAATCTTTATTAAGAGAAAATGATTGCAGGCGTTCTAGACAGGATCGGAGGGATCAACCCCTACCATTCAATGTTTTAAGTATTCCCAAGCAGTCCCCACCCCACAGTCCTTCCGGGCGACGATCACTCATCCTCTCTTTTTCCAGATTCCAGGCGTTACATTGTTCCACCCCTTTTCCCTCACTGCCGGCAAAAGGGAGACTTCAGAGAGAGAGAGTAGATGAAAGGCAATGGCCATATTGTTATGGTCAGTCCTCTTGATGAGAATCAATATCCAGTCCTTTGTAGTTTAAATGAAGGAAGTGAGAGTCATAAAACCCCCTTGCTTCCTCCTCCCCTTTTGTAGTATGACAGAATCCAGAGAGTAAGAAATGGGGGTTTTTTTCAGAGTAAGTAGCTAGAAATGAAATATAATTAGATTCTGACATCTGCAGTAAATAGGGCAATGATGCAAAACAGATGAGGTGCTTTGAGTTTTCTTCCCATATGTTCCCCTACATTTTTGGAGAATATTTTTTATTTCTCAACGCAAAGTGGTGAGGATCCCTGCTATAACTGCAGTGACCTAGGTATAAACAATTCATTTCAGGTTTTTACCATCAAAGAAAGTTATGACAATATTCCATTGATGACTTACTTAGGTGAATGAATGTTTCTTTATTATCAGTTTTAAAGTGGTGTCTATTAAGCAGTGATTTATTAAAAGGTTTAAAACTGCATCCTAAAATCATTTAGGGAAAATTGCATGGACATTTTGGTCTAGTGGGTACATTTCAGTAGAACATTCACATACATACTGTTTATTGATTAGTTATGATGTCTTGATGCATATGGTAATTTACAAGACACCCATATACCAGAAGACAAAATTCATAAGGGTGTTCCTACTAGTACCCAGACATGATACTTCTATCAAAACAGTTTGCCTTTTCTAGAATGTATTTCCAACCAAAGCACTAGAGAGGAAAGAACTTGGCAGGTACCAAGAAAAGCATTCTAGATATAGGGCTGTCTAAAAACTGATAGAAGTGAATACATTTCTTCACTCTTTGGTTTAGTAGAAATATCAAATGTGGTTCAAAACTTTTGAGCTATAATCTTTTGATTAAAATATTGATCAAAGTACCAGATACTAGCTATCTCACAACTTTAATTATTCTATTCAGGTAACTCTAGCCATGTACGCTTTACACCAGGGGTCCCCAACCCCCGGTCCGTGGAGCAATACCGGTCCGTGGCATGCCAGAAACCAGTCTGCACAAACAAGGAAAGCCCTATACGCAGGATGCAGCCAGCACACAAAACCATACCCCTTCTGGTCTGTGGATAAACCTCTCTCCACATAACCGGTCCCTGGTGTCCAAAAGGTTGGGGACCTCTGCTTTACACAGTTATTAATGTGAGACAGACTGTTGCCTATCTTATTTCTTTATAAATCTAAAATATCTTCAGTTATGCTTCTAATCTTTCCAGAAGATGGAGAGATTATGAATGCTACAATGCAGAAACTGTATCATAACCGTATTTCTGGATTGTAATATATACATTCAAATTAGAGAGGTTAACTACAAGCAGGAGTGCCAGAAATCTGAATATACAAATATTTCCAGGAACAACTTGCTAAGAAAATGGTGTACTCATTCTGCTTGGCAGACAGAATTAAATAATCAAAACCCTCATCTATTGTATTCAAAGTAATTGCTTTGTTTCGGTCCCAAAGTGAAAGACAAAAATTTGCAAAGATAATCAATTTGTTACATTAATGAATCAGTTGGGATCATTTTCAGGTAAATCAGACCGAATGGTTCAGCAGTAATTTTTCAATCATTATTTCATTTTGTTAAATTAATGTTCATATATTTAATGTTTCTTTCTCAACTAAAACTATCTCATAAAATCGATTTTTGTAGAGTTGAAAATGAAATGATCTGATCTATACTTAATTTCTGGATAGATATACAAATGAAGACACCAAGATTTTCTGTTTCTCCAAATGTTTCAATACATTTCCTGACAATTTAAATGTATTAGTACAATATGAATACATATTTTAAAATAAAGCAAAATTTTGAATTAACTGAAATTTATGTTGAAACAATACTGCAAGTGAAACATGAAAATATGGCATAGATATGAACATTTATAATTAAGAATTTGTTGTATTCAAAATATTACTCAATTTTTAAAGCATGTACAACTTGATTTCCCAATATACAAATCTAACCAACTTTAAAATATTACAGAAAAGTCAAGGTTTTTTGCACAAATCTTATCTTTTTAATGTTTAAACGCAATAATAGTAATATATGAAAAGAACTAATTATATCCTGCATATTTACTATAAATTTTATTCTAATTTAAAACTATGTTTTACAATAATGCAATAATCACATTTCTGAATTACTAAAGTATACTTTAGGGACCAACAATATATTGCTTCTAGATCTTGCTGGACTAGATTCAAATTTCTCTTACCACTAGTAATGTTGATTATAAATTATGAAACTTGGTGTCCAATAGCTAGGGAACCACATCCCTAATTCAGCTTTTTCAAATTACCATGGAGTTTGGGGAAGAATTAGTAGTTCCTAAACATAATATTTAAAAAAAAAATTGCTCTTAGTTTGGCTAAGGATTCTCATGTACAAAACCTAAGGCTATATTATGATTTAAACACAACAAAGAGGATTGCCAAGAACACATTTGCTCTGAAATGTTGAACTATCACACAAGAGTAATACATGCTTGTGTGCTTTATTATACCAGTCATGTTAATATTACAATCTGAAATGCAATAGACTTTAGTTTTAAGCTGGCCATCATGATATAAATATTGAGGTAAAGGAAAAAGGTGGGCAATACTGAAATGCCAAAGTAATTATTTGAAAATTGATTATGACAGTAATATTTGTGACTATATTATTCATGATAATTTCATAATAAAAACTGCTTTAAAAAAATTCCCCAACTTGGTTTCTTCCAAAATTTTTTGAACTATAATTCCCAGAATTCCCAGCAACATGGCTATTGGTCCTAATGGCTGGGAAGTATAGGAATACTAATTCTGAAAGATCATCCAATTGGGGAAAGTTAGTTTAGTTTTGTAGAATAATAAAACTGTATTTGATCTATCAAAAACAAAAGCCAGTAAAGTGATTGTCCATGCTGGAACACAGGGATTAATAATAAAGAATCCAACTAAAACTTGTATATAAATGTACTGAATGATGGTTTATAAAAAAAAATCTTTAGAATAACACAAAATCTTTAGAATAACACAAATAATCCTTAGCTGCTATGTAAGCCATAAAGGTAGCAGATAGTTTATTCTTATTCCATTTTTTTTTTTACTTCCACTTAACTTTTTCATTGGCTATTTTTAAGGTTGCATTTCTGTTACAATATCAAGGACTTCTTGAACCTTATAATATGGCACCATTTCATTGCTTTTTAAAGATGATAAGGAGTCCTTTGGAATTCATCAAATAAAAATAGCTTATGATATAGTCTATTTGTAATGTTTTTTTTAGAGTGAGGTAGAATACAGATTTTGGATAAGTTAATATTTCAAATCAAGTACTTGAGTATTAAGCCAAATCAAAAGGAGTATTTGAATATCCAGCATTTTTACATCAGATCCTTTCCCCTTATTGATTAAAAAAAACATTATTTAACTATTTTTTTCTCGCAAAAGTTAAAATACCCTACTATAAAACAAATTATAAGCATAGCAAAATTCAATCACATCTTGCCCCAGAAATTTTCTTTTCTTCTTTGAGCTCGTTCTAGAACCTGAGATGCAAGAGAACCAGAAGCAGCAGATCGAGCAGACAACTGGGACAGTCGGTCAACATCATCTGTAAGTACAAAGAAAAAGAATATGAAAATTGCTGTTAGTACGAAATATACCCAAAACATAAGAGAAAAACATGAGTGAAATAAATATTATCTAAAATAAGAAAGAGATCTCCATCTAGCATACACTACACTGCATGGTTTATCATGGGAGGACAAAATGGCCCATTTAATAACACTTCAATGTTTTGTTTTGGAGAATATTTGAGAAGTAAAAATAACAGATGGAAATAATTTAAATAAAACAGTATTGAAGAACAATCAGAAATACTTTACTAATGATTTGACATAGTCAAAACAAAATAAAAGGGTTTGTGAAAACTGCATCTAGCTGCAAGTATACATAAGGGACTCCTGGTGAACAATCTCATACATTCTAGGAGTTCTGAACACAGATCTACACTGACATAGAATCAATTTAGGTGAATTACAATGGTCAAATGAAGACAGATCGTATATGGCATATACAGTAAAACTTAGTAATCACCATAGGCAAACATATATTATAAGCAAAGATTCCCCATGAGGACTATGCAAAATAAATGTGTGTATTTAACAGAACCTGATTTCTATGATATTCAATTTTTGAAACTCCTACTGCTAAGGATTCTTGATTATTTCGTTATCTTTGCTTTTCTGTTTAGCAAAGTTATACCAGTAGTCCCTACTTACTGACCATTCATTCAGTGACCATTCTAAGTTGCAACAGCACTGAATGAGTGGTACTTGGAAGTTCTAGATGCTCTACCACTTCTGCAGTCACATGGTCACAATTCAGGCATTTGGTAACTGACCACACTTAAGATATTTATTGTGCCCCATGATCATCACAATGGGAAGCTGGCAGGGAAGATGGCAAGTCACACCAGTCAGTCTCCCTTGGCCTCCCTGTGCTCATGCAGCACTACCGCCTCCTTCACCTGGCTTCCTTATACTTCCATTGACCTGCGCTCACGGCCTGCATCTGGCCTCCCTTAGCACTGCCTCCCTGTGGCACTTTTCACACTCCTTGCCTGAGACTCCTGCAGCCTCCTGTTTAATGACCGACACATTTTGGGCATATGAGAGCAACTAAAACTGCCAGGAGTTTTATTGCTAAATAATGTAGTCATCTGATGGTGTCATACTTTATGACAACATTGCTTAGCAATAGCAATCCCAGTCCCAATTGCCATTTTCACCCAAGTACTATCTGTAATGGTTGAACAAATATCATCGCACAAAAATTAGGAAAATGGCAAGGCATAGGTAAAGATCTGATAATTTTGAAATGTTTAAATATTTTCAGTAGCTTTGCTAAGCAATTTGAACAAGCCCCATGCTTTCTAGTCTCAGTTGTTAGGAAGTATGAAGTTGCAGAAGATCTGTCTCTTTTTCTATTTCTTTTTTCAACATAGAAATTTTGTGTATGCAGATGCATGGATCAGATCCAGGCAAAGTATTGTCAAATTTTCCCTTTTCTCATTTAGAGTATTGCATAACAATTTGCCCTCTGAGGTAAAGTAATGTTTTGCAGTGCAAAAAACAGCAAATATTGATTTTATTTTTCTGCAAGTTATGACTGTGCATAAAAATGTCAAGTTACAAAGAAAATTACATTTCAAATACTGTATTTCCTCTTTAGTGGTTAACATGACACAATTTTCTAGCCCTCCAATAGTTCCAGGTACAAAAATTGTGCCAAATCTGTATAAACTAATTTTATCATCTCATGAATATTTTTAAACTCACTACCACCCACTTTTATTGCTCTATTTCCAAAAAAGGCTAATCTTGCCAATGAGGCATGTCAGCAATCTTACCCATCGAAAAGAGCATATGGTAAAAAGGTACTTTTAAAATAGTTTTTGAAGGCTTTTAACTGCAGCAGGATAGTTTCTGCACCAACATTATATGTTCTTTGTTGCACAGTTTGGAAGTTATCAGTGTGCTATCATTTTCTCATTGATGCCATCTTTATCTTTAAAAAGATCCAATAGGACCTTGGCTGATTTGCATTCTACTATTTTTATTTTTTCTTATTTCAGTCTTTGTATGGTCATTAGCATAATCACTTAAGTCACTACAGTGCTAGAATCAGTTTAGAAGGCCTTGCGCTCACTTGCTCCATAATTGCTGATGCAAGGACAAGTCAAGCCTATTAAACTAGCCATAATAGTTTGCAGGCTGTCAGTTAAAATTAATGCCAAGCTCCTGGCAGCTGGTCTGTAACTGAAATCCTGTATGTGCTGTTTGGGAGTGCCAGTGTGCCAATAGACATTTATTATTATCAAGTACCATATTCTACCTTTTCATATTTATTAAAATTATTTCATGTTAAAGAAAACTGGAAGTTGGAATGCTATAAAATAAAGTATCATCAGCTAGCATGTTTTTTTTATTTTAAAGAATACATTTTGATTCCAAATGTGCTCCATAAGCTTTGTTAGAAGATAAACCGGACAGGCAACTACATCCATGTTTTTTATCACAGCATTAAAATATCTATGAAAGTTAATAATCCTCACAAATTTGAATAAGCTTTCAAATGAAAACTTTCCATTTTAAGTTATATCCAAAAGACATAAACCTTGCTATATAAAAAATTTCTATTAACATTAGTAACGAAGCAGTACTTATTTAGGTGTGTAATTTTTACTATATGTTTATTACTATATGTTTATTACTATATGTTTTATTACTATATGTTATTATTATTTATATAATTATTACTATGTTTTATTTGCTATATAACGATAGCTAAAATATATTAACCAACCTTCATCATGATAGTTTCTTTCCTGAAGGGGTAATTGTAACCAGCTCCTTTTGGGGCTTGCAATGTTTCCTATTAGGAAAAGTATACATTTACTGCATTTTATCAATTCAGAAATACTTTATTTTGTAAAAGAAAATTAAATTAGAATGTTATCTAAAGAAAAATGAGAATGTGCTTTTGTATAGCTAATTTTGATCCCACGTTTTATATATATATATATATATATATATATATATATATATATATATATATATATATATATATATAGGTCTTTGGTTGTTCGGGTTTTCTCCCGCGTAAAATTGGAAGTGTTTTGGCGACGTTTCGACAAAGTCCCATTTGTCATCTTCAGGCTGGTGCTTTCAGCTTCGTGCTTCGAGGAGCAATGTGTGGTCTTAGCTGTTTCTTCCTTTTAACTGCCAGTAGGGTATGAACTGATTGGGTGGGAGCTTGGCTGTGTTCTGATTCGGTGGAGGTGTGTTCTTATTGGTTAGGGGCGTGGCTGTGCTCTGATTGGCTAGGGGGTTGGCTGTGCTCTGATTGGCTGGGGGGGTTGGCTGTGCTCTGATTGGCTGGAGGAGGGTTCTGTTTGGTTGTGCTCAGGTTAGTCTGAGTTGCAGGGGGGTTTAAGATTTTGGGCTGCCTTGCTATTTTTTGGCTTCGCGTTCGTGGTCGTGCCTCATCTTCATGGAGGGTGTCAGTTTGCTTCATGTATGGATTGGAGGGGTTTAAAGTGGCTAATGATGCAGCTGTGGTCTGGCTTCTGGTTTGTGGTCGTGCCTCATCATCGGTGTGGCTTTGGGTTTGTTTTTTGCGTGGATGTGTGGTGGTGACATCCTGTGTGGTTTTTGTGAGTGTGGGTCTGGTATCATTTTTTGTGTTAGGGAGTCGTTTGTCAATAAAGGCGGGTTTCCAAATGGCTGGTAGGCGGGAGGTATCATCTCGCTTGTTCATGCTGTGTGGGCGTTTTTCTATCTCGATGGCTTCTCTGATTATTCTGTTATTAAAATGTTCACTTTTGGCAATGGTTCTGGTATTTTTAAAGTCAATTTCATGTCCTGTGGCTTTGAGGTGTTGGACCAGGGAAGATGTTGGTTCCTCTTTTTTGACTGAGTTCTTATGTTCTTCAATGCGTGCACTTATTCTTCTGTTGGTTGGTCCGATGTATGTGTTGGGACAAGCAGTGCGTGGGATTTCATATACTCCTTAATTTTCTAAGTCAATTTTATCTTTGGGGTTTCTAAGGATGGTGGATATTTTTCTGTTTGTGCAGAATGCTGTTTTGATGTTGTGTTTATGGAGGATCTTACTGATTCTGTCTGTGGTGCCTTTTATGTATGGGAGGAGGGCTTTGCCGTTTTCTTGTTCTTTGTCTTGGATTTTAGTGGGGGTTTCTTTTTGGATTAGGTTTGTAATCTTATTTCTTTGGAATCCATTGGATGTTAGTACATTGGTGAGAGTGTGTAGTTCGGTTTTTAGGTGTTGTTCGTCAGCTAAGCGTTTTGTTCTGGAGATGAGTGTCTTGGCTACAGAGTTGATCTGTGCTGGGTGGTGGTGTGAGAGAGCGTGCAGATAGCGGTTTGTGTGTGTTTTCTTCTGGTAGATGGTGTGTCCTAGGGAGCCATTGGATTTCTTGTAGACTAAGACATCCAGGAAGGGAAGTTGGTTGTTAGCTTCTGTTTCCATGGTGAACTGTATTTTGGGGTGTAGGCTGTTGAGGTGTGTGAGGAAGTTGTCCAGTTTTTCTTTCCCATGTGGCCAGATTATGAAGGTGTCGTCTACGTATCTGAGCCAGAGTTTGGGTTTGTGATCCGATTTTTCTAGAGCTTGGGTTTCAAAGTGTTCCATGTAGAGGTTGTTTGCAATGACAGGTGAGAGGGGTGATCCCATGGGTGCTCCTTCTGTTTGTTTGTATTTTTGTCCATTATAGATGAAGTATGTGTTGGATAGGCAGTGGTTGGTCAGATCTAAGATGTGTTTGGGGGGGGTTATATTTGTTTTTGGCGTTTTTCTATCTCGATGGCTTCTCTGATTATTCTGTTATTAAAAAATTGAATTAGAAAATCAAGGAGTATACGAAATCCCATGCACCACTTGTCTCACCACATACATCGGACAAACCAACAGAAGAATAAGTGCACGCATTGAAGAACATAAGAACTCAGTCAAAAAAGAGGAACCAACATCTTCCCTGGTCCAACACCTAAAAATCACAGGACATGAAATTGACTTTAAAAAGACCAGAACTATCGCCCAAACTGAACATTTTAATAACAGAATAATAAGAGAAGCCATCGAGATAGAAAAACGCCCACACAGCATGAACAAACGAGATGATACCTCCCGCCTACCAACCATTTGGAAACCCGCCCTGATTGACAAACGACTCCCTAACACAAAAAATGATACCAGACCCACACTCACAAAAACCACACAGGATGTCACCACCACACATCCACGCAAAAAGCAAACCCAAAGCCACACCGATGATGAGGCACGACCACAAACCAGAAGCCAGACCACAGCTGCATCATTAGCCACTTTAAACCCCTACAATCCATACATGAAGCAAACTGACACCCACCATGAAGATGAGGCACGACCACGAACCCAAAAATTAGCAATGCAGCTCACAATTTTAAACCCCCCGGCAATTCAGACTAACCTGAGCACAACAAAGCCCCCACCCAAACAGAACACTCCCCCAGCCAATCAGAGCACAGCCAACCCCCCAGCCAATCAGAGCACAGCCAACCCCCCAGCCAATCAGAGCACAGCCAAACTCCTAACCAATCAGAACACACCTCCATCCAATCAGAACACAGCCAAGCTCTCATCCAATCAGTTCATACCCACACTGGCAGTTAAAAGGAGGAAACAGCTACAACCACACATTGCTCCTAGAAGCACGAAGCCGAAAGCACCAGCCTGAAGATGACGAATGAGACTTCGTTGAAACGTCGCCAAGACACTTCCAATTTTACATGGGAGAAAACCCGAATAACCAAAGATCTACATACATATATATATATATATACACACACATACATACATACATACATATATACATACATATATATACATACATACATACATACATACATACATACATAGATACATATATATATATAAAATAGCATGTAAGAGCCATGGTGGTGCAGTGGTAAGAATGCAGTACTGCAGGCTGCCTCTGCTGACTGCCAGCTGCCAGCAGTTTGGCAGTTCAAGTCTCACTGCCTCAAGGTTGACTCAGCCTTCCATCCTTCCAAGGTCGGTAAAAATGAGGACCCAGATTGTTGGGGGCAATATGCTGACTCTGTGAACTGCTTAGAGAGGGCTGTAAAGCACTGTGAAGCGGTATATAAGTCTAAGTGCTATCGCTATATAGGGAGGTGAGAATAATGTACAGTATATTTTCAGAATAGGTTGTTTAAAGGAAACATTGCCAGCTGCTCAGTAGAGGACAGTTATGAAATTACTTCAAAACAGTTTGGATCACACCCTGATATGCCACATATTTCTTAAACCTGACTGTAACAAGTTGCTCTAAAGTTTATGAAAGTTCAGCACAACTGGAAGACACTGGACTGAAGAAATAGCTGAAAGTAGCGTTTATCTCAATATAAAACCAACAGTAACTTTCTGTCTAAGTAAGTTATATTCTTCTTCTGATCGTTATTCTTCAAAGGATAATCACACTATCAAGTCCTGTTGGATACTAACCTATATTTCAATGTATTGCAATCTGAGTATTTGTTATTGTTGTTGTTGTTGTTAATTGCGAAGTCGTGTCCGACCCGTCGCGACCCCATGGACAATGTTCCTCCAGGTCTTCCTGTCCTCTACCATCTTCTGGAGTCCATTTAAATTCACACCTACTGCTTCAGTGACTCCATCCAGCCATCTCATTCTCTGTCGTCCCCTTCTTCTATTGCCCTCAATCTTTCCCAGCATTAGGCTCTTCTCCAGTGATCCTTCCTTCTCATTAGGTGGCCAAAGTACTTGAGTTTCAACTTCAGGATCTGGCCTTCTAAAGAGCAGTCGGGGTTGATCTCTTCTAGGACTGACCGGTTTGAACGCCTTGCAGTCCAAGGGACTCGCAGGAGTCTTCTCCAGCACCATAGTTCAAAGGCCTCAATTCTTTTGCGCTCAGCCTTTCTTATGGTCCAACTTTCACAGCCATACATTGCAACTGGGAAAACCATGGCCTGGACTATACGCATTTTTGTTGGCAGGGTGATGTCTCTGCTTTTTAGAATGCTGTCTAGATTTGCCATAGCTTTCCTCCCCAGGAGCAAGCGTCTTTTAATTTCTTGGCTGCAGTCCCCATCTGAGGTGATCTTGGAGCCCAGAAAAATAAAATCTGTCACTACCTCCATTTCTTCCCCATCTATTTGCCAGGAATTGAGAGGGCCGGATGCCATGATTTTGGTTTTCTTAATGTTGAGTTTCAAGCCAACTTTTGCACTCTCCTTCTTCACCCGCATCAAGAGGCTCTTTAGTTCCTCTTCACTTTCTGCCATTAGAGTGGTATCATCTGCATATCTTAGGTTGTTGATATTTCTCCCGGCAATCTTAATTCCAACTTTTGATTCATCTAGCCCTGCCTTTCTCATGATGTGCTCTGCATATAAGTTAAATAGGCAGGGCGACAGTATACAGCCTTGCCGGACTCCTTTTCCAATTTTGAACCAATCAGTGGTTCCGTGTTCGGTTCTCACTGTTGCTTCTTGACCCGCATATAGGTTTCTCAGGAGACAAATGAGATGGTCTGGTACTCCCATCTCTTTAAGAACTTGCCACAATTTGTTGTGATCCACACAATCAAAGGCTTTTGCATAGTCAATGAAGCAGAAGTAGATGTTTTTCTGGAACTCCCTAGCTTTCTCCATGATCCAGCGTATGTTGGCAATTTGATCTCTAGTTCCTCTGCCTCTTCGAAATCCTGCCTGTACTTCTGGTAGTTCTCGATCCACATACTGCTGGAGTCTAGCTTGTAGGATTTTAAGCATAACTTTACTAGCATGTGAAATGAGTGCAATGGTGCGATAGTTTGAACATTCTTTGGCATTGCCTTTCTTTGGAATTGGAATGTAAACTGACCTTTTCCAATCCTGTGGCCACTGTTGAGTTTTCCAAATTTGCTGGCAAATTGAGTGTAGCACTTTTACTGCATCGTCTTTTAAGATTTTGAATAGCTCAGCTGGAATACTGTCACCTCCACTAGCTTTGTTGTTGCTCAGATTTTCTAAGGCCCATTTCACTTCACATTCTAGGATGTCTGGTTCGAGGTCAGTGACCATCTCATTGTGGTTATCTGGGATGTTAAGCTCATTCTTGTATAGTTCTTCTGTGTAGTTTTGCCATCTCTTCTTAATCTCTTCTGCCTCTGTTAGGTCTCTGCCATTTTGGTCCTTTATCATGCCCATCTTTGCATGAAACGTTCCCTTCATATCTCCAATTTTCTTGAAGAGATCTCTGGTCCTCCCTATTCTGTTGTTTTCTTCTATTTCTTTGCACTGTTCATTTAAGAAGGTATTCTTATCTCTTCTAGCTATTCTCTGGAATTCTGTATTCAATTGGGTGTATCTTTCTCTTTCTCCTTTGCCTTTCGCTTCCCTTCTTTCCTCAGCTATTTGCAAAGCTTCCTCAGACAGCCATTTTGCTTTCTTGCATTTCTTTTTCTTTGGGATGGTTTTAGTTGCTACCTCTTATACAATGTTGCGAACTTCCATCCATAGTTCTTCAGGCACTCTGTCTATCAGATCCAGTTCCTTAAATCTATTTGTCACCTCTACTGTATATTCATCAGGAATATGATTTAGTTCATACCTGAGTGGCCTAGTGCTTTTCCCTACTTTTTTCAATTTAAGCCTAAATTTTGCAACGAGAAGCTCATGATCTGAGCCACAGTCAGCTCCTGGTCTTGTTTTTACTGACTGTATAGAGCTTCTCCATCTTTGGCTGCAGAGCACATAGTCAATCTGATTTCTATGTTGACCGTCTGGTGATGTCCATGTGTAGAGCCGTCTCTTGGGTTGTTGGAAAAGAGTGTTTGTTATGACCATCGTATTCTCTTGACAAAATTCTATTAGCCTGTGCCCTGCTTCATTTTGTACTCCAAGGCCAAACTTGCCTGTTATTCCGGTTATCTTTTGGCTTCCTACCTTAGCATTCCAATCCCCCATGATGATAAGGACATCATTTTTTGGTGTTAATTCTATAAGGTGCTGTAGGGCTTCATAGAACCGGTCAATTTCATCCTCTTCAGCACCAGTGGTTGGGGCATAGATTTGGACTATTGTGATATTGAATGGTTTGCCTTGGATTCGAATTGAGATCATTCTGTCATTTTGGGGATTGTATCCCAGTATTGCTTTTCCTATTCTTTTATTGACTATGAAGGCTACTCCATTTCTTCTGAGGGATTCTTGCCCACAGTAGTATACCTGATGGTCATCTGAGTTAAATTCACCCATTCCTGTCCATTTTAGTTCGCTGATTCCTAAGATGTCGATGTTCAGTCTTGTCATCTCTTTTTTGACTACGTCTAGCTTGCCTTGATTCATGGATCTTACATTCCAGGTTCCTATGGAGAAAAAATCTTTACAGCATTGGACTTTCCTTTCACCACCAGATATATCCACAGCTGAGCGTCCTTTCGGCTTTGGCCCAGTCGCTTCATTCTTTCTGGCGCTACTAGTACTAGCCCTCTGCTCTTCCCCAGTAGCATATTGGACACCTTCCGACCTGAGGGGCTCATCTTCCAGCGTCATATCTTTTTTCCTTTTAGTACTGTCCATGGGGTTTTCATGGCAAAGATACTGGAGTGGTTTGCCATTTCCTTCTCCAGTGGATCACATTTTGTCAGAACTCTCTGCTATAACCTGTCCGTCTTGGGTGGCCCTGCACGGCATAGCTTATAGCTTCATTGAGTTACGCAAGCCCCTTCGCCACGACAAGGCAATAATCCATAAAGGGGATTTGTTATTGTTATTGCAACAAAATACTAAAGTTATTTCAAATAGATGTGTCAATCTAAACAAAGATAAAGATTTATGATGCAAACCAACCATTATGCTGAAACTCTGGATCCCGGAGACTTCCTTGAATGCGGCACAACCGTCTCCAATAGGGTACATCAGAACCCTTAACCAGCTTTGTTTCAAAAACTGTAGGCATCTGCTCTGAGTGCATTAATGTTGCACAGTTTCTTGTACCAGAAATATCTTGATTGGAACACTGATCTGTTCGTAGAGGCAAAGGGTCCAAAGTTTTCAGCCCTGCAGCTGGGGAATTAGTCACAGTTTTTTCTTCACCCTAAAATGTCAAAACAAATATTCCCATTATAAATAATTCTGCTATTTGCTAAGATTCCTAATGTTGTTAACAAAAAAACCCCAAAGGCCATAGTAATAATTGGTATTTTAAAATGTGAAAATAGTTTAAAGTCATTAAATGAAAGCAATCAGCCATGCTTCTGTTTTGTATGTCTTACATTAACTCAAAGAGATGTGCAAAACATTTTGAATTCTAAGTGTTTCAAACTTGAAATACCCCATCCCAAATGTGAAATGTCTGAAGCTAAAATACTCCATTTCAAATTCAAAATGATCTGTTTTGAATTTGAAATATCTATCCCAACTTTAGCAAAAGGTTTTTAAGCTTTGAGACAACATTTTGTGCTCAATATTTTGAGTTTGAAACCTTAAATCATAAAAACAGCATTAGAACACTTCTGGTAAGGTTGAAATAAATTACTTCCAAATTTGAAATAAAGACATTGTGAATCTGGAAAATTGTTAATAACCTTTGTTATTTATTTACTATAAAGTGCCTCACAGCAACTGCTTTCTTATGTAGAGATTTCAAAAATCCTGCAAGTAGTTGTGTGCTATAATTTATATAGTAAATAAATATATATATATTATGAATATGTAGTTATTAGCCCCATGATAGTTTTCTATAGAGATGATGCCATATTGTTAATTGAAAACCTAAATAATTTATACAGTATGTTGCACTGTACAAGTAAGCTTACATTTGAAAAGTAATGTATCAAGATAATTAATTCAGAAAATGGAGTGCAAGATATACCTAAATGATAAAACCATAGCAGTAGATCAGTTTATGCAAGTTGGAAAAATATTTACCAAATTAAAAGAATGGGAAAAGTGATAAATGGAAAGATTTGGAAACATAGTTAAAAAGTGTGTCTATTGCAAAGAATAAATATAACAAGAAACAAAATCATCTGTGCTTTTTATGGTGCTGCCCATTTTGTTATACTGAAGTAACAGTTGGATATGTCTATTGATAGTATTGTTATATATTCCTGTATCAGAGGTACAAAATGTTTGTTTAGGCAGTTTGGTCATAAAGAGAAAGTAAATATCTATCAAACTACACAACCAATATGTGGAAGAAGAATAGATTAACAGACAGGATAAGATTTAGAAGGTCACAGTAGCACAGACTCAGTGACATTGTTAAAATGAAAGGTGAGATATTGAAGAACAAAGGTCAAAATATAAATTAATACAAAAGTCTGAGGGAAGCAAGAATGATCTGCCAAGATTAAAAAAAAATGAGACTTATGATAAAGGGTGTTAGAGTAAATATACACATTATTTCCTAACATTCTCCTGCAAACCACAAATTCTAATCAATTAAGTCAAATTTAAAACAGGAAATAAACTGTTACAGATTTCATTATAGCCATATGTAATTTCTCCAGTGCTACACATAATCCTCGACTTACAACTGGTCATTTAATAATAGTTTGGAGTTATGATGGCCTTGGAAAGAGTGCTGTACAGTCCATAAAGCACTTCCGGCTATTGAAAAATGTTGCACTATTCCTACAGCAGTCACAACTGCACTTTAGGCACTTGGCAACCAGTTCACATTTATGACTGGTTGCAACATCCCAGTCACAAAACTGCAATTTGCTATGTTTTTTGCCAGTTTCAGTGAAAAAAACCTGCCCACTTATGACTGAGTGATTCACTTAATGACTGCCATAAAAACTGTGGTAAAATCAGGTTCAGTCACATGGGTGCTTCAACTTAACAGTCATAAAGACTTACAACCAATTGTGGTCATAAGTTAAAGTCAAAAGCTACCTGTACTAATTTACAGTTTCTTATTTGACAAAATTATAATTTTCTTTGTAATTATATATTTTATAGGAAGCAGAAATGGACATTACAAATATTTCTTACACCAATGTTACCTTACCCTGTTAGTTTTTCCTTTTACTTGTTCTCTTGAAACTTGACTATTTGCCAAAGACTGCTTTTCTGAAGATTCCTTTTCTATTTGCAGTGAGGATGAATGCTTTCCTTTCTGAGGAGATATTAAAACAGCACCGCCTAAAATAAAAATGAACAACTTCTCCTTAATGCTAAATGTATCACAGGATATGGTTACTAATTGTGGCTATATTGTATATTATCTCCAATATCTAAGAGACTATACCACCTGCATATATTGTAGATGTATAGAAATACAAAGGGGAAGCTACTAAATTCATATTATGTTTGTAGACTTCCCAAGGGCAGCTAGGTAGTCACTGCTGAGAATAAGGAAGATGGCCTTGATGATCAACTTCCTTATTTTCTACATTCACATTGGAACAGACTACTGAGCTAGATTGGCTTTAATCAATTCATCGACACAATTATTAAAATTAACATAAAATGAATTCTTAGGATGCATGTTAAATCATATTTTAGGAAGTTAAATGAAAACTATCAGGCTTTTACCTGTAACTGGGGTTTTCAAATCATGATGTGTTCTTTGGATTCCACCAAGTGCTCTAAGTTGTGGAGTTGGAAGCCTACCACATGCTCTTAAAGATTCTGAAGAATCTCCCCTGTCTTCTGAAGAACTTATATTTTCCATGGCAAAATAAGTAAGAAATGTGACAAAATATGATTATCCAATGAACAATTATTTAAAGTCCTAGTCTGCATTAGGGGTTCTAAGTTATGAATTATTTGAGTCACAAACAAGGTATCACAAAAGAGCTTCCAAGTTATTATCTCCAGTCTCTGGGTTCTGTTTCTTTTTTTGAAATTATAATTGTTTTTGAAGATTATTTGGGATTTTGTTATAAAATCTTGAGTAAATTTTTGTAATTTAATCAAAATAATTACAGATCAATTTTCAATCATTGGTCTTATCATTTTCTAAATTGCACTTTCTCCTTTGTTACATTTGAAGAATACAAATTCAATCATTTTACAGTTACTTTACTGTCCCAGAAATGCTTATTAAATATCATTCCAGACATAATTTCAAATAAAAACCTCTCAATAAATATCTATGAAATGATTATGCAGTTTTTCTTCATATGTTTATACAAATGTTATTTTAAAAAAACATTGGATTAAATCACTGAATATCTTTAATTTTGGTAAGTAATTATTTATAGCCTTATTCAAGCCAGAAAACTATGCTTTACCAAGCCTTGCAAAGAATTAGAACTGACATGAGTATGCTGTTTGAATATTTGCTTAAGGTATATTACCTATTAGAATTTGTATACCCAAATTCTAGCTCAAATTATTTGGCATAAAAATCTAATCTTATTTACGTCAATGCATCAGAGCTCCCCATTAATGGTGAAATTAACATTGCCTTAGCTAACAGGGCATAGAAGTAAATACCCCATAACTCCAAACAGGAAAAATAATCTTTCAAATATTTACTTTTGCTGATTGTTTATACTGGCATCCTTGTCATTTTTTTTCACTTTTTTAACTTCATCAATTTCTTGCTTATTTTCTTCTTCTTTGCATTCCCCTAATGTAGGTGACAGAGTTTCCTGTTGCTCATCATCATGCAATTCATCCCAAACTAGACGTCGCTTGACAGGAATAGTAGAAGCATCTGATGCACCTAAATTCTCAATGTTACTTTGCTGCAACGGTGCAGGTTGTACCAATATGTTAGGACCTGAAGAGAGTTTGTTTTCAGGAACCCTAAATAAAGAATAACAATTTATTAAATGTAAGATTTATTTATTTATTTATTTTAAAAATTTATAAGCCGCCCCACTCCCGGAGGACTCTGGGCGGCTAACAATAAAAACACATAAAACATAACAAAACAAACAGTCATCCAGGGGTCAGATTTTATAAACCCCAGGCCTGCCGGAAAAGCCAGGTCTTAAACAGCTTACGGAAAACCAACAGGGTGGGAGCAGTCCTAATCTCCGGGGGGAGCTGGTTCCAAGAGGTGGGCGCCATCACAGAGAAAGCCCTCCTCCGCGGCCCTGCCAAATGGCACTGCTTGGCCAACGGGACCTGAAGGAGGCCCAGCCTGTGGGATCTAACCGGATGAAGGGAACTATGAGGTAGTAGGCGGTCTCGCAAATAGCCTGGCCCTGAGCCATATAGGGCTTTAAAGGTAATAACCAACACCTTGAATTGGACCCGGAGACCAATAGGCAACCAGTGCAGCTCACGGAGGATAGGTGTAATGTGGGTGTATCGAGGAGCACCCACTATCACTCGCGCGGCTGCATTCTGGACCAACTGTAGTCTCCGAATACTTTTCAAGGGTAGCCCCATGTAGAGTGCGTTGCAGTAGTCCAGACGTGAGGTGACAAGGGCATGAGTGACTGTAAGGAGAGCCTCCCGGTCCAGGTAGGGTCGCAACTGGTGCAACAGACGAACTTGTGCAAAGGTCCTCCCAGCCACAGCCGTCAAATGATGTTCCAAATTCAGCTGTGGATCAAGGAGGACACCCAAGTTGCGAACCCGCTCCGAAGGGGGTATATTTTCCCCCGCAAGAGTCAATACTGGACAGTCGACAAGGTCCTTGGGAGGCAACATCCAAAGCCACTCGGTCTTGTCAGGATTGAGCCTGAGTCTGTTAACCCCCATCCAGACCCTCACGGCTTCAAGGCAACGGCCCATCACATCGGCCGCTTCACTGAGAGAGCTCAGGGAGGAGATATATAATTGGGTATCATCAGCATACTGATGAAACCTCACCCCGTGCTGTCTGATGATCTCATCCAGCGGCTTCATATAAATGTTAAATAGGAGGGGGGAGAGGACTGACCCCTGCGGCACACCGCATTCAAGGGGCCTCGGGGTTGACCTCTGCCCTCCCACCAATACCGATTGCGACCGGCCAGAGAGGTAGGAGAACCACCGTAAAACGGTGCCTCCCACTCCCACCCCTTCAAGCCGTCGCAAAAGGATACCATGATCGATGGTATCAAAAGCCGCTGAGAGGTCACATAGCACCAAGACAGAGGAATAACCCCTGTCTCGGGCCCGCCAGAGATCATCCATCAGCGCGACCAAAGCAGTTTCTGTGCTGAAGCCGGGCCTGAAGCCAGACTCAAAAGGATCTAGGTAATTGGCTTCATCCAGAGACCATCAGAGCTGGAGCGCTACCACTCTCTCTACAACCTTCCCCAAAAAGGGGAGATTGGAGACTGGGCGGAAGTTATTTAAATCAGCCGGGTCCAGGGTAGGCTTCTTGAGAAGGGGCCTCACAACCGCTTCCTTCAAGGGTTGCGGGAAAGACCCCTCCCTCAACGAAGCATTGATCAACACCTGGAGCCAGCCTCATGTCACCTCCTTGGCGGCCGAGACCAACCAGGAAGGACACGGGTCCAATAAACAAGTGGAGGCGCTCATCGCTCCCACCGCTCTGTCAACATCCTCGGTGGTCACAGACTCAAATTCACCCCATAAAACTGGGCTAAGACCTGCCCCGGTCATCTCAGAAGGCCCTGCCCAATCGGAGTCTAGGTCTGTCTGAATCCGAGCGATTTTGTCTGATAGGAATTGCACAAATTCCTCCGCTCTACCCTGTAAGGGCTCCCCGGCTTCCTGAACGTTAAGTAGGGAACAGGTCACCCTAAACAGGGCGGCGGGGCGAGATTCTGCAGACGCAATAAGTGCGGAAAAATGAGAACATTTTGCCGCTCGTATCGCCACTAAATAAGTCCTAATATAGGCTCTTAGAAGTGTCCGGTTGGATTCGGAGTTACTAGCCCTCCAGCGTCGCTCTAGACATCTCTTCTGACGCTTCATCTCCCGTAGCTCCTCGGTAAACCAAGGTGCCCTCCGGGATCCACAATCACGGAGAGGTCGCAAAGGCGCGATCCGGTCTAACGCCCCTGATGCCGCCTTATTCCAAGCAGCGACCAAGGACTCAGCCGGTTCGTGGAGGAGGGAATCAGGAAAACCCCCAAGCGCTATTTGGAACCCCTCCGGGTCCATTAAACGCCTTGGACGGAACCACCTAATCGGTTCTGCCTCCCTGCAGTGGTGGAGTAGGACCGAGAAAACTAACCTCAATAGGAAGTGATCCGACCATGACAAGGGAGAAGTAACTATACCCCTTAAATCGAAATCACGTCTCCACTGCCCCAAGAGGAATACCAAGTCAAGCGTGTGTCCTCCCCTATGGGTCGGACCCTGAATTATCTGGGTCAGGTCCATGGTTGTCATGGAAGCCATGAACTCCTGAGCCACACCAGAGGATTCGCCGAGTGACGGCAGATTGAAATCCCCCAGCACCATAAGCCTGGGGAATTCCACCACCAACCCAGCTACCCCCTCCAGCAGCTCAGGCAGGGCTGTTGTCACATAGCTGGGAGGCAGGTATGTCAACAACAAGCCCGACTGAACCCTTGAATCCAACCTCAAGAGAAGGGACTCACACCCAACAACCTCTGGGGCTGGGATCCTGCGAGGTCTCAAGGATTCTCGGATAAGAATCGCCACTCCCCCACCCCTTCCCTGGAGTCGCGGTTGGTGCATTATCTGAAACCCGTCTGGGCACATCTCTGAGAGAGGAACACCTCCCTCTTGGCCCAGCCAGGTCTCAGTAATACATGCCAGGTCGGCTTCCTCATCTAGTATCAAGTCCCGGATGAGGGGGGCTTTATTAATAACCGACCTGGCATTAAGAAGCAGCAACCTGAGGCCAGGGTCCTGAACACCCCCCTCTCCAGGTATTGGAGAAGAGTCCAAGGGGTCGGAACAGGTAATCGCTTTAATGCAGCGAGTCCTTGTTCCCCGAAGATGGCCCACCCCTTGGCTCCCGCCATATCTACCTCTCCCTACGATAACCGGGATGTTCCGGCCCACTTCCACCCCAAAAACTCCCCACCCAGCCCGCAGGTCTCCCTCCCACCATCCCTCCCTCCTAGCAGGCCACATCTCACATTCAAATCGAGCCGGGAAGTACATCCGGCCCCCCCTCCACTTCTATTTACACACTCAGCAGAGGGGGCACCAGTTCTCGTTCCCAGCTCCATCACTCACACCCATACACACCCTAATACAATAAAACGAAGAGAAAATTAAAAAACAATCATATAGTCAACATACACTGGCTAAGAGATTCTGGGAATCGAAGATTTAATAATCATTTATGTATTTTAAGAAATATTTAGGATCTTCCTCAAAGATATGACTAGTGGCAGTTATATCAACTTAAATACATTTATGTTTCAAGTATACTCATCTGCAAATTTAATAATAAAGTAATCCAGGAGGGCCTATGAACTATACAATTAGCTCTCTATGACAGTAGGGGCTTGAGTTGAAAATAAAAAATAGTCTCCATGTCACATGGAACCCAGATTTTCAAAGTAAGTTTGCAATATATGCTAGCAATCTGCTAAATAAAGGAAAAGGAAGAACAATCTGCTTGACAATCTTTATGCGTATCTAAAATCTCTCTGTACACATAGTATACACATAAATGCACACATAAATACAGTGCTTAAGGACCGTCCCTATTTTACAAATTCTTAATCAAATACTTGTGGAAAAATCTGCAAAAGTCAAGATAATATTTAATAACATGTTCATATTGTGGATAAAATGTTTTTGGATGTAGCCTGAATGGATATATTCATGTAGTAAATGATTGATATACCATCACTTTCTTTCAAACTACTTTTTTTTTTTAATTTTCCAGGCTAGCCTGCAGCAAAGGGATTGTCTGAAGGTTTTCTAACTAAATATTAACCAGGCCCAGTTCTGTTTAATTTTTTAGCCCAAAATACCATATTTTTAAAACACGATCTTCTTCTATGTCTAATTTCTTACCCTGCTAAATCAAGCGCTCTGATATTGTTGCTCATGGTTTCTTCCACACTGGATTCAGAGGACAAATCCCAGAGTCTATTGTTATCTGATAGGATTTGATTTAAATGATCTCTGGAAAAGTGGGTTCCTTGTGTCCTCTGCTTATAAGCTTCTGCTTTCTCTCGAAGTTCTTTCACCTGGATATGAAGATTTCACACTTATTGATGTGTTTTCTTTTTTTAACTTGTACTATTTTTGTCAACTTTGATGGCTAATTAACAGCCACCAATAGCACAGAACAGCATGTCACAGACAATGCATAAACATTGCAGCGCAAATATCAAAGGAAAAGATACAGATACATTTTCAATGAATGCTCCTTTTAAGCAAAGCCAAAGATCACTAGTCAGTCAATTACTAGCAAGCATCAAACAATGCACATGCTTAATATAACAATACTTTTTTTATGATTCATAAATTTTATAATTGCTCCAAACATGAAAAACTTAGACATGACCAACCTCCATATACCACATGGTATTTAGAGTGTTTTGAGAACCCTGAGGAATACAAAAATAAACAATATTTACTAATTTTATATTAATATTACAAATTTACTTCAAAAACTAAAATGATTTCTTCCATTCTGCTATAACTATGTTATTATACTGCCTCCTAGAGTTCACACTACAGAAGGGTAATTTAACTTCCTTAAAAATATGACATATTTAATGAACAGATTGAATAAATATTTGACAACTGTAAAATGATACATAGTACATTTTCTGAACTGATAGAATGGCAACAACTGATCTCTATTTTTTACATGTGTATTGTTATTTTTATAGCATCAGTCTTCACCAAATTAAATAAACAGTTACTCCTTTGTTACTGTTCCATAAATCTCATTTTTACTACTGCTTTCCTGGGGAATACTGACTTCAGCCAAGGTAGGAGAAACTGAAGTGTTTGGGGTTTTATTCTGCAGTTCTTTGTGATTTGTGAGGGAATTTGAATTAACTTCAGTGGTGGTTGTTTCACAACAGACCACACCTTTTTATTATTTTATAACCTAACATAACTATTTCATCAAATCATATTCTTTTTCACAATACACAGGAGTACAAATAAAGCACTTCCTTTTTAATGATTAAATAAGCCCCATCCTTTGCAAGATTCAGACAGCTGTTTCAGAAGCTGCTGATGGTGGTTCCCTTTACTCCTCAAAATGTGATGACATTTCTCATTTTTAAAAAAATTCCAAAGAGTACAGTACTGTAACAGAAACAGAAACCAACAGATATCCCAAGAGCATCAAAAACAGGATAGCAGCAGTGTTAAGATTAGTTGTATAGCATTAAAGTATTTAATTTCCAATATAGGAAATATCAATTTCCTGTATGATTTTATGGCTTTTACATTAAATGTCATTATATTATTAATTAAATAAGATTAATTATTATTTATGTTGGGAGAGGGAATTATCTTTCATTTATTGAAAAGGTTAGAAAGTCTTGAATACTGGGAATGAGCAAAAATGCACATTGCTATAGAACCTGCTAGAAAGCTTGAATTCTGATTCTGCCCTTTTTGGAGTATAGCTTTTACATGCGATCTTTAGAAATGGTTCATCTGAAATTATTAACTCTAGGATGACAGGTTAGAAAAGATCAGCATTACATAAGATCTTTCTCTATGTTTAAATATTTATTATCTTGTCTTCTTTTTAGATGGATGATCCTAAACTCAGAATCATCATCTTTTCAGTAAATACAAACCCCAGCAACACCAGTTGATGAGAAAAAATTCAGAGAACTTGCAAAAAACAGTAGTTTTGTTCAGTTTGTTCTAAAAGCTAATTATTTTCTCTATCCAATAACAAAAGCAGAATGCCAAAGTTTGGGCACATAAATAAAGATCAAAGAGATGTAACACATGAAACTAATCTCTATTTTAGTCTTCTTGATTACAGAAATTCAGTTCCAACTAATTCAGGAAACCCTCTGTAACTTTTAATGGAGAAATATTTGAAAACAAAACTGCCTATTCAGTCACTGAGTCCAATCTTGTTCTCTATGCAGATATATAAAAAGTAAAATAAAGCCAACAAAATGACAAAAGCACATTTACCAATCAAAATTGAGTGAAAAGAGCTGCCTTGCAATATTAGACCTCAAATCAAATCAAATCAAATGTTTATTATTACAGCCATGAGCCAATACAAAATTAAACGTTCAAATAAAACAAAACTAAACGGAACAGAACACATAAGGCATAGCAATATATTACAATTAATAATGTAATCAATGGGTGACCAAAGTCTGTCTAATTTTACTGACAGTATAATAAAACCTAGCTACCTCCAGAGAAACTGAATCATACTGACCAGACAATAAAAATACATTGAGTATGGTCTAATGATGAATAAAAACATGTAATAAAATTAATTATAAAAGATTATTAAAAAATCTAAAAGTATTTATGTTTCTGGCAAATCTCCAATGCTGCTGCGCAGAATCTAGCTACCTGCGCCATGATCACTGCCTGCTCATCCTTAAGCAGCCACTGGAGATAAATACTTTCCGAACAACCAGGATACCTATCAATTATGAGGAGGATATGGGTTTTTTTTAATAGCTCTATAGAAGGAACATCGAAGGAGTATGTGTCCAATGGTCTCCATCTCTCCTGAGCCACAGGAGCAGAGTCGTTCAGTCAGTAGTGTTTTTTTATACTTGCCATACAAGATAGCCAATGGAAATGCATGGCACTGTGCGAGCGAAAATGCTTTCCGGTGGTTTACTAAGTCCAACTGGCTAAGATAACTGGCAGGTATAACAACGTATCTAATGGAGTCTGGAGCCAGAAACAGCGGGGCCATACCTAAGTCCACTTGCCTCTCGATGTCCTCTATCCTTTGTCACAAGGTTTGTTTTGCTTGATCATAGTCCAATTTGAGTATTGAGGCTGAAGAGAAGCCTAGTTTGGCAAGGTTGGACTCAACTGCCTTGATCCACGAAGAGAAGAATTTGTCTTGAAGGATTAACCCTAACCCTAACCCTCAAATGAGGGAGATGTAATTATTTGAAAAAGTGGGTGCATAGAGAAAGCCATTTCTGAGAAACAAGAGCAGAGATCCAAAACAGCTGCTGGTTAAATGTTGTATTTAAGTTCTATCATGTTCAGTAAAAATGTTCTATTTTTCATTTTTCTGCTGTACAATACTATTTATAAAATATACAATAGCATATATTAAAAGGACAACTTTCAAAAGATAAAGCAATATCAAAACTTTCAAATGAATTTCTTGGAAATAAATCATATACTCACTTGATATGGTATATTTTTTCTGACATGGATCCAGGCTCCTTGTTTATAGATGTATTGACTAGGAGACAAGAATTTCGATCTATATTCTGTGTTCATTTTCCTAGAAAAACACAGTTCCAAGTAAGAAGGTGTAAATATTATTTTGTAATTGTGTAGGAAAATAAGAATGCTAAATAGCAAAGTAATACATAGAATAAAATAGAAATTCAGACAAACAACATTTGTGTAGGAAGAGTGTGTCTTTGACAGAAATTAATTTTTCAAGACAGATACAATATACAGATCTTAAGAATATCAGGTTTTTAGGCCAGCACCAAAACCACTACATCAACAGAGTTTCTATTTTAGAAATCAATGAACAGAATAAACTTTGCTAAGAGAGATAAACTAAGAGATGAATCAGGAAATCTCCAAATCCTCTGTGAGTTCATATGGGGACAGTAAGCAATCCCTATTTCTTAAACACAAGGAAGGAGGGAAGCATTTCAACTGACCGAATAATCAGGAGATACAAAACACTTTCTCTACTCATTTTCAAAGTTGACTCTATTTAAACAAATATAGATATAATGGAGGAATTTATATACTGTTGTTCAAATCTGGTCTAATATGTTATATGTGTAGTGAAAAGAGAATTCAAGGCATTTAATATTCTGATATACTTTATACTTACTTAAAACATCTGTGTGAACACAGCGACTTCTGTTTTTGCTTTTTTTCTTTCTGCTTTATTTCTAATTCATTCTGATTTGATGAATTTTCTGTTGTCTTTGTAGTGTTTTTATTTTTTTCGTTCTAACAAAAAATAACAAAAATACTTTGTCGATCATATAAATTATAATTTATTAAAATATATAACTATATTTTATTAAAAATTTAACTTTTAAGTGTAATGATTAATCTTAATGTTATGTGATATAAATATTATTGTAGAATGTTTCCAACAGAACACTTATTGATTACAGTTCTTGGTATGATATTCGTGAACTTCAAAAACTCAATAATTGTCAGAAATAATTTGAATATACTATGTTGCTGGGAAAAATATGTATTTGCATTTGACTGAAATATGATCAGAAAATAAGAGTAGAAACAAAGAGAGCTAAATACAAATTATTAAATATATAATGTTTTTCATATTACAGGTAGTTCTCAACTTACAAGATTTGTTTAGTGACCGTTCAAGGTTACAATGGCACTAAAAAAAGCTACTGCTTTTCACACGACCATTGCAGCATCCCATGGTCACATGGTCAAAATTCAGGTGCTTGGCAATTGACTTATATTTATGACTGCAGTGTCCTATAGTCATGTGATTACCTTTTGAAACCTTCTGACAAGCAAAGTCAGTGGGGAAGCCAGATTCACTTAACAACCAAGTTACTAACTTACAATTGCAGTGATTCACTTAACAACAACAAGAAAAGTTCATAAAATCAGGCAAAACTCACTTAATGAGTTGTGAATCTGTGATATTTTAAAAAATATTTTAAAAACATTTAATGTTTTTATGTATTAAAATATTTTAAAAACATTTAAGTCTTTATGTATCGCAACCATCAGGATGGGAACATGAAATCGATCAGCCAAATTAGAAATTCTAAGTATAGAAATTGCTAAACTGAAAAGGGACATAATGCTTTAAAATGTAATAAATGAAGTACAATACCTTTTCTCCACAGGAGACTTCTATTGATTCAGATCTAGGACATTCACTCTCTTCCAGAAAACATTGCTTTAGTTGTTTTATAGGGTGTGAAGGTTTGAAATTCCTTTCATATTCAGTTTCAGGGATAATAACAGGAGACTTAAATGGAGGAATGGATTGATTTGATCTGTGAATAAACTTTGGATTATAAAATACATTAATTTACTTTTTCAATAAAGCTAAGTAACTTTGCCATTGAAATTACAGAGACTTAGTGATGTTTTATCTCTGCTATATTATTGCACAGCAGAAAAGTCTTAATCAGTTGATACAGAATGATCCAGCCATTTAGCAAATACCAATTATACAGTATTTGGAACAAAATAGAGTATTTAGCATACAATGTAATACATCAAAAAATGCAATACAACAAATAATAACTGGGAAAAACCCCAATGAAGACATTGTCCTGCATACTAAATCTGCAATGAATAAGTATCACAACATTTTATTAAGACTTTAGTCTACATACAAAGGAATTCTGGGAAAAGCCTCACTGAGCAAAATTGAGCTTATTTTTAAATTAAAAAATATAAAGTTGTGCAATACCTTTCAAAAATGGAAACACTTCTTAAAATACTTAAAGTTACCTGATCTGCTGCAAGGACTGGAGAAAGCTTCTGTGGGGTTTTCCAAACAAACTCTCTTTGATACTCAGAACTTCTAGGGAAGCTTCTTGACTGTGAAATATTTATGCCTGCTCTCCTCTGTAGAACTCTGTTCAGCTGACAGTTGATATTAATAATAAATTCAGAACATCATTTCTTTTTGTGGTCAAATATCAGAAGTTATTATTATCAAAACTAAGATGGACACTGCTGATAAAAGCAAAGTATAACATTCTGTACATAAACATGGAAAATACTTTTTAAATCTAAACCTGTTACCATCAGTGCTTAAAACTGCCATTTATTTAACATGGCAGCAGCACTGGAAATATTTAGGCTGTCATATAAAGTCAGTGGCAATTTATTTAATTGAATAATGAAACAATATGCCTGTAAATTTTAAACCAATGTGTCAACATTAGCTTTCTTTTCTATTATTTTTTTTCCTTTTGGCTAATTTATATTGCTTATATGAGAGTTTGGGGAAAATCTATTAAATTTATGTGATTAAATTCTTAATGAACAGTTGTAGGAAAATTTTCTTCTTTGAATCTTGTGTTATTTAATCTTGTGGGGTTTTTTTTATAATCACCTGATATTTTAGCCCTCTTTCTGTAAAAGTCATTCCTTTCTTTTTCAAAGCCCTCAGGGATTGCTTGCTTTATCCTTTGTTAGAATCCAAAGATTCTTGCACCTCTCCTAGTGTAATGATTACATTTCCTAAACTAGGCATCTTCCAGATGTGTAGACTCTGATTTCCAAAACTTTTAGCAATTGCCATTCTGGCTCTCTGGAAAATTCTGCAAATTAAAGTTCATGAATCTGGAATATACCCAGGCAGGGAAAGTTGTTTTGTCCATATTAATAGTTACAATGAATTATTTCTGAGCTTTAACTTGCAACATCAAATCAAACTTTTTTTTTTTTGTACTTCCTACCCCATGATCTGTTTTTCCTAATTCTTTTTTGGTAGATGCTAATACTTTATTTTCATGCACTGGAGTTTGGGGCACTGACTTCTTGCTTCTTCCAAGTGCTTCAGTTGATTCAGATCTAGATCCTGCAGAGCTGAGATGCAGTTTTTCAGGAAGCCTGGGTGCATCAGATGTCTCAATTAGGTCCTTATTCAGTTCAACATCCTTGCTGTCAGTTTTGTGCAATTCAACTGGCTCACTGACTTCGAATTCTGATAACGCAGCTTTCTCCAAGCCATTATCTCCATTCCATTGAAAAGATTTTGAAATTTGTGTGTCATAATAAGGCACTCTTCTCTTAGAAATAAAATTTGGTTCTCTTGTGATCCCTGTAATACATGCAATATCAAATATTCTGAAAATTCTGAAAAATTTGAGCACCAATCTATTTCTTTTGCATGCATGCAGAAGAAGAGAAAGATTTTAACACAAATAAACATTTCATCAAAGAAATGCTTCTTTTAGTTTGGATAACACCTATTAATATATTAACCCTCTGTCTTACTATTTTCTATTACCAAATACACATCAAACAATGAAGAATGTTTAATTTTTCAGACCAAATATCTAAGTATATTCTCTTTTCGTCTTAACAGGAAGCAAGTTAATTTAATATCTAATATTGTTGTGTTTTAATGGTATCTAATGCTGTATTATGAACATAAACACAAACATGAAACTGTGTTTACCCCCTACTGCATATAAAATTTATTTAATGAAATCTGGATAATTAGCATGTGGAAACAGTAACTATTGCAAGTATTTCTTACACAAGAAATACATCACAAAATATCTAATTTGTCTTACCAAACTCATCTGATCGAAGACCAGCCCATTGGCATTTTTGTTCAAGTGTAGAGTTGCAGAATCTAGGCTGTTCTAGCTGCTTCCATTTGAAGTTTCTTTTGTACTCACTTAATCCCTACAATAATATAAAATGTGAAATAGTAATTTTATGCCTTATTTCTTCCAAACTCAGTAAAGTCACAACCTGGAAGAGTTAATGTAAGCATTTTTACTTGATACCAATATATACCAAGGTATAATTTCTCATAACACTAAAAAATAAAGACAAAAGATTTAGCCAACAGGCTTTCCTATTTATATGATTTGATTCTATATGAATCCACTTCATACATTTGCATAAACTTGGTTACATTCACACTTTGAATATGCCTATCTTATTTCCTCAAGCAGTTTATTATGTACATGCAGTTGTCATGGTTCTGAAAGATGAAACTCTTCAAAGAACTTCGAGGCATTGTTTGCCTTAAAGAATCTTTATTCGAGTAGCATAGCATTGGCAAGTATATAGGCAAAGCCAAAATCTGAATTCCCCTCCCCTGAGCACATAGTATCAAAGCACAATTCCCTCCTCTAATTTACAGTCATAAATCACATTCTCCAATTAGTTTGAAATGCAGGCTTTCCCTCCAGTTCTTCAACCCGCCATTTCTTATCATCTCTTATTTCAAAAACCATGGTTCTCAGACTAGTTACTAACATTCCTCCTCCTTCCCCAAGTATCAATTCTAACTCTAATTCTAAGAGAAAAACATAAGAAGGAAAATGGCTGCATCTCCATATGTTGTCAAAGCAAGAGCATCCAATATTAGCAGCACTGACATCCAGCCCCACTTACAAAAAGGACAGATCCTGTAACGTAAACAAAAGCATATGTTAGCGACTGTCTCTCAGTTTGTTAGGGTGTTTCCTATAGAATCTTTTGATGAGTCTGTTGGCTTTCACATCACTACCTTTCACCCAAGTTGTTTCAGACAGAGAGTATCCCTCCCATTGTACTAGCTACTGCAATTTCTCTTTAAAAATTCTAGAATCAAGAATATGCTTTACTTCCTAGTGAGTCTGACCCACTATCACGAGGGGTCTGGGTGCCTTCTTAGGGGGAGGTCTTAAAGTAGAGCCCCAAAAAGGTTTCAACAAGCTGCAATGGAAGACAATGTGAACTCTCCCCAAAAGCCTAGGGAGTTTTAATTCTACTGTGACTGGGTTAATGATCTTTACGATGGGGAAAGGCCCCTAGAATTTTGGTCCTAATTTCTTGCTGGATAATTTGAGGTGTAAATATTTAGTTACAGATAAACCTTTTCCCCAACTTGGAATATTCTTTGAGGAGCCCTCTTTTTATCTGCCTGCTTTTTATAAGTCTCGGAAGTCTTTTTTAAAGCAGTTTCCGTGGCTCTCCAAACTTCTTCCCATCCCCTCACCATTGATCAAGTGTCTGAGAAGTGGAGGGCGCTTGAGGGTATTCAGGTTGAACTCTTTTCCTTTGGCTACTCTGAAAGGTGTGAAGCCAGTGCTGGCTGTGAACAGAGTTGTTGTAAGCCACTTCTGCAAAAGGGAGGAGGTCGGTCCAGTTGGTTTGTTGGTAGGAAACATAGTATCTGAGATATTGCTCCACCATCTGATTAGCGGATTCTGCAGCCCATTAGTAGATGGGTGAAAAGCAGATGATAGACCTTGTGATGATCCAATTAATTTAAGAAAGCTCCTCCAAAGCCTAGCTGTGAACTGCACCCCCCCCATCTGAAATTATTTGTTTAGGGGTGCCATGCAGCTGGTAGATATGTTTCAAGAACAGTTTAGTCAGTCGTTGGGCAGACGGGAATCCTTTGTAGGCAATGAAGTGAGCCTGCTTTGAAAACAGGTCTATCACAGTCCAGATCACTGTATTTCCTCTACTTTCAGGTAGGTCTACTATAAAGTCCATAGCAATTTCTTTCCATGGTTGAGAAGGGTCTGCCACTGGCTGCAATAACCCAGGGGGTTTCCCTGGAATTCTTTTCATGGTGGCACATACAGTACAACTCCTGACATAATTTTCCACATCCCGTTTTAATCCTGGCCACCAGAACTGCCGGCGGATGAGATGTAGAGTTTTTAAATATCCAAAGTGTCCAGCCTGTTTTACGTCATGGCTGTGTTTGAGAGCATTAAGATGGAGGACTTCTGACAAGTACAATTTCCCCTTGTAAGCCAAACCATCCCTGCATGTTAGGGAGGTTTGATTGTCATTGAATCATTGATAGATGAGGAGTTCTTGTTTTATTTTCTTGGCCCCAGGGTCATCAGGATTAGGAGCCCTGCGAGGCGAGAGTTGAGCAGCAGTTTGTGGATTGGAGATAAATGCCTCATTAACCTCTTCGTGCTGGCTTTTGTACTGGGGTAGTCTGGATAGATAGAGCATCAGCTTGGAAGTTTTTCCCTCCTGGAATGTACTTTAGAGTGAAGTTAAAACGGTTAAAGTACTGTGCCCAATTTACTTGTTTCAGGGTCAATTTGCGAGGAGTTTTTAGTGCTTCCAGATTTGTGTGATCTGTCCATACTTCAAAAAGCACCTTGCTCCCTTCTAGATAGTATCGCCAGTTTAATATAGCCCATCTGATTGCAAAAGCCTTCTTTTCCCAGATTGCCCACTCCTTTCGCTCTCAGTAAATTTTTTCAAGGTGTGGGTGCAGGGTAGCAAGGCTCCACTTGGTTCTTTTGCAGTAATACAGCTCCGACGGCCACGTCTCTGGTGTCAGCCTGAATTACAAAGGGCTCCCCTGGGCAGGGGTGCTTTAGGACCAGTTCATCAGCAAACAGTCTTTTTAAATTCTCAAAAGTGATTTGACAGCTCATAGTCCATGCTAATGGTTGGTCCAGTCACGGCTTCCCTCCTCCTTTGCCTGTTTTGAGTAGTTCGGTAAGGGGTAGGGCAATCTTGGCAAAAGAGGGGATGAATTGACAGTAGAAATTGGCAAAACCTAGGAAGCTCTGGAGCTGTTTGCGAGTCTTTGGGGGCTGCCATTCAATTACAGCTTTCACTTTGGCTGGGTCCATTTCAATGCCCTCATTGGAAATTCTATAGCCAAGATAATCTAATCAGGTCTGGTGAAATTCACATTTTGACAGTTTGACATAAAGCTTGGCATTCAATAGTTTCTTCAACACTTCTCTCACCAGCTTTATATGATCAGTTATATTCATGCTGTATATCAGGATGTCATCAAGATACCCCAGAACCCCTTTGTATAAATGATCATATAGGACCTCATTAATCAACTGCATAAATACAGTTGGGGACCCCTGTAGCCCAAATGGCATGACTTTGAACCGATAGTTTTCCACACTCACTGCGTTCAGAGATTTATAAACAACGCAGAGATGAAGAGGCCCACCTTTTTTTTCTTTAAACAACACAGGGGCTCCCACAGCAGACTTCGCCCATTCAATGAATCCCCTTGCTAGATTTTTGTCCACATATCGCTGCATCTCCTCCATTTCGAGGGGGGACATAGCGTACATTCTCGGTTGTGGGAGTTTGGCTCCCAGCAACAGTTTGATGGAGCAATCATTGGGTCGGTGAGGAGGTAAGGTGTCACATTCTTTCTCACTAAATGCCTCTGCTAGGTCCCGGTACTCGCTGGGGATGAGTGGCTCACCTGGTGGCAGTGAGGCAGCCATGTGCGCTAGCTCATTGGGTGGGCTAAAGTTTCCTATAATGTCTGGTGAATCAATGGGGGCCTTGGGCCCTATAGGTAGCCTCACAGTTCTCATTCCTTTCTCCCACCAGATAAATGGCTTCCATTTGTCCAACCAGGCTAATCCTAGGATCACAGCCTCAGTCATTTTTGGAGCCACCAGGAAGCAAATAAACTCCCAGTGCTCACCTATTTCTAAGTATAGGGGCTCAGTTAATTGCATGACTAAAGTCCCTCCCATCAGGGAGCTATCGGCTTGCTCAAACCTCATGGGTTTGGAGAGCAGTTTTGCTCGTATGCCCATTTTCATGGCAAATGGCAAGCTAATGACGCATCGGGAGCATCCAGAATCAACGAGCACTTTTAAATCTACCTGTGCCCCTGACTTAGGGATTATGAGTTTGGCAGGTAGTGAGAAAGGTGGGACGTGTCAACTCACCATCGGGTCATTCTCTCCTTCATCGTCGCTGTTGAAAGAGGGTAGAGTGGGGGCAGGTCCAGCCTGAGTCCTGGAATCCTGTGTGGAGGATGCCACTTGGGCAACAGGTTCCTGTGTGATCCAGTTGGATTCCTCTCTTGTTGGCTGCTGGGCAGATTTCTTTCTCGCTGCTAGTCCTAGTCTACTCTGCTGTTGAGGGTAGGGGACTGGCCAATTTGCTGCTCGATGTCCCAGCTGTCCGCATCGGAAGCACTTGATCGGCGGGCCTGCAGGTGGCCTGGGATTTTGGCAGCCGCAGCAATTGGAGGTTTTTGTTTGGGTTGCTCTGGCCTCGACTCGGCTTCAGGTGGGGGAGGCTTCTTATAGCGGGCAAGCTGAACGTCTAGTCTTACCGCTGTCTAGTACCATTCTTGCAGCTGATCAGGTACTGCTCAATAGATGCAGGCCTGAGAGAGTTGATCATCTAATCCTTCTTTGAAGCGATGGACTAGGGCAGTGGTTCTCAACCTTTTAAATGCCGCGACCCCCAACTGGTCGTAAGTTGAGGACTACTCAACCGGTCGTAAGTCGAGGACTACTCAATTGGTGCAGCACCGTTTGAGAATGGGACTTTTGGCGGGCTCAGCAGGGCAGAGACAGCCTGGACAATTCCTATTGGCTTTTGAAAGCCAATAGAATTAGACTCTATTCAAGAGAGTCTATTCTATTGACTTTCAAAAGCCAATAGAATAAAAGGGAGTAGCACAGCTAAGGAAAAGGGGGAAAAAATGGCGGACTGCGTTGTTTGGCAACCCCCGTGAAATGGTTGTTCGACCCCAAATGGGATCCCGACCCACAGGTTGAGAACCACTAGACTAGGGACTGCTCAGGCCACCTCTCTATCTGGCCGGTGATCTTGCGAAACTCTCGTACATACTTCAGAGCAGGCCTGCCGGCTTGCTTTATTTTGTGGATATGTTCTTCTGTTTTAAGGGCAATGGATGGGTCCTCAAACCTTGC